AGAGCTGGAAGGGAGAATCTGTCAGCCTCATTATCCCCTGAGAGAGGACAGCCTGGGAAGCAGGGAAGGAGCCAGCCCAACGTAAGGCCTGAAGGCAGCCACCAACCCACAAGCTTGCAGGAGAAACTGAGTGAGTAGTCCCCTACCCCCTGGGCCAGACTAGAGGAGAGGGCATTCAGGTGGGAAACCTGACTAGACCCCTAGACTGCTTTTATCTAAATTGGCAGCTTCTGGTACCTCTTGGCCAGGGAATCCCTCAGACAGCTGGGTGAAGAGGAGATTTCATCTGGGGACTGAGGTGGAACACCGGGGAGAGGTTGGGTAGCTCTCAAGAAGAGAGAACCCGTCTGAGCATCTATACATAGTTCTAGGAAGTTGCCCTCAGTTAAATAGTTCCTTGGGCATCCCATGTATCCCTCATCCCTATCCAAATTATCATCCCCTAATAAAAAAAAAAATTCAAGGACTATTTACTGTCTCTGGAGTGTATGTCTGGAAGGAAATGCATGTTGCCTGGCTGTGCAGGACTGTAGGGGGACCCAAATTTCTAGCGACTCCTAAGGAGATAATGCTACAGCACCAAAGCTGTACATGCATCAGCACGCATTTTAGCACATGTACCAACAAGTGCAGATGTATGCACAGCCATGATCCTTTGCAGTGGGCCATAAGCTATAATATGCTCACACTCTCAGCATGGCTGTGCACTTCAACTTTCTGACAATGAGTGCAAGGTAAAGGCCTATAAGTACTAGTGCATATCACAAAATTTAAATGTTGGAACAGCTGATTTAATATAACTTTAGAAGGAATTTATGCTGTCAAGGTACACTTTGTCTTAGACATAGGAGACAAGATCTATTCCTGCCCCATTCTACTGGCCGAATTGTGAATATTGTTGTCTGCTCACATGGGACAGATCCTTTTTGCTTCTTTTCTCAGTGACACAGCAGGAAGTTAGGTGAATTCTTCCCAATGGGGCACAGACAGCATAATAAAACCTGACAGAGGCTCTATATCTACCTCTCTCTATACTAAAATTATAGAAATAGAAAGGGCTTTGCTTTTTTTACTTACTTTTCATTGAAGAAACAATCAATTAATATGAATACTTAGGGAGCTCATGTAAAAAATATGTGGTAAGACCATAGTGTTAGAAAAAAAATCCAGAAGGAGAGCCCAGTCATAGTCACATGGTCTGCTTTTCCTCAAATTCCAGAGCTCCTCTTGCTCCACTGAACAAATAAAGCTTCACCAGCAACGTACCATGGCTTGATGTTTATTATTGAGATTGGGCCACACTGTGTGTAGAGTAGCGAGGCATAATGGAGAACAGGTAGTGATATTTCTTCTTTGTTATAAATTATTCCCTTAGTACTCAGCACCCCCATATCATTTGAGCCTGTGTACTATGTGCTGATCCATGTCACTATATCATGTGAACAACATCAGATTTCAGTTCTTGTTGCATCACGGGGAAAGACCTTTTACCTATTTCAGATCTTCTAAGTTGTAATTTTTTGACAAAGATGAATGTTCACACACAGGAGCTGCAATTCAAATTGTGCACATGTTCCAGCCAGGTAAAGTGGGCCTGCAAGTTAAAGTGGGCCTCCAAACATGAATAAAATAAATAATAATGTATCCCCCTTCACCCCAACACACACATACCTGATGCAGTATGTAGGCTCATTTTACCAGGGGATGGGCTAATATAGCGTTGGCGGTCTGATCTTCTGCAGCACAACTCCAGCATCAGCAGTTAACACTGGTCCTGAATTGTATGTGATGATGTCAGAGAGGGGGACAGCATCAAGGCCAGCAAGAAGAATGGTTTTGATGGAGCAGAATTGACAGGGAGGACCATGGATTAAGGTAAGTATTGCTCTTTATTAGATCATTCCCTAGTAAACTGAGCATCATATTCTGCATCAGTTAGTATGGGGACATTGCTATTTATTTTATTTATGCCTGGAGTTAGGCTGGCTAAAAATGGATCTTTTGTTTCAATCAGCCAGCAGGCTGATCTAAAAAGAATGAACAGATTCCCCCATCCACAGAAGAAAGGTGAATGGAGGAATCCTTCCCTCTGTACTACTGTATTCTGACAGCAGGGACCTCTCTGCTGTCAGAATACACTGATTAGCACTGTGGCCAACTGACTGTAGACCGCTGATTGAGAAAAAGTTTCTAACAACCCATTCAACAAAAGCCGATCAGTAGATCGAATTCTGTTGAGTGGAAACAGTAATAAATGGATGGACCTGACCAAATTTCAATCCATCCATGGCCAGTTTTAGACTTTAAACAAAAGAGTTGTAAAAATGGTACGCAATGCAATTTTTTTTTTTGGAAGGAAAAAAAGCATGCAACTGTTTCTTGGTATTTCAACATATACAAATTATTATGGTATATAAAAAAAAGGGAACTTAATCATGCCTCCACCGACTTTAAAGCTTGATACACTTCTTACACAGTCATCATTCTTTTATATAATTTACTGTTCAAAACGTTTAATACCAGCCTTGGGCAACCTCTCACTGAGCAAATTTGATCTTTATTTGTAATATTATACGCTCCCCCCCCTTTATTTTATATTTTGTTAAATGATAATAGGCCAAGGCATTTACCTTAACAACCGCACAAACTTGGTTCTATTCAAACACATAAAAATGGCTTTTTGTTTGCATTTCATGTGACCTCTTCCATACTTAAATGTAGTATAAAACTATGTAATAAGGTAAATAGGCTGAACAAATCGGGCCTTTGAAGTAAAATACACAGCACTTTGTGATTTTTCCCCATGAAAAAAGCATTAAAAAAGGAATGATAACATTTGAAAAGGGATGAGATTTAAAAATGAGCATGTAAAGTTACATTGGAAGACAGAACTAAATACATGAACCGTATTTGCATTTCAAACTTGACTGGAAGGTCAGACTAAAAGGTTACTGGCAGTATCAAATAGTAAAGTATTGATGGTCAACTAAAAGCCAATGCAGTCCATCTACCACGACTGAAAAAATGCAAGCATACTACCTATTGACTCGTAAGCTGCAATATAAAAAAAGTATTGATCTTTGGCTTAGATACACTTAAATTTATTTAAGTTTTAATTTTTAAACTGATGTTTTATATCATAGTTAAAGAGTATTTTTTTCCTATGATCATCAGCTCCACCTAGTGCATATAGCAGTAGTAGTATATTTCTGATTCATGCTATTCTTATAAATGAAGAACACCCAACCTGGAGAGAAAACAGCCTAGTGACACTTGATTTTGCCAGCATTTGCACAAAACGAATATACATGCAGTTTCGCAGGATGAACACTTATGCTAACTTTTTATACCTATACCCCTTAATGAAGTGGAAATTCACTTTGCAAAGATACCCTATCATGTGCCAGGACATTTTAAAACAATGTATTTTTGCTAGCAAATGATTGATTGATTGATTGATTGATTGATTGATTGATTGATTGGTTGGAGTAATCCCAACTTCTTATTTCTAAGCAAAAATTAAGTTTGCAAAGTAAACATTCCTTTTTACTTTTAGTAAATCAAATCTTATACTTTTTCTCAAACCTTCTCAAATGAGTGAGCAAACCAGAGTCTGTTTCCTTTCAGACACTCTTTACAATATTTACAGAGTTATCTGAATGAGATAAAGAGAGGGGGATGGTTTGCTGTTATACCTTGTTCATTTGCATGTGTACCTCACAGTTTGAGCTACTGAGCTCTGTCTACAAAGGAGTTTTTCTACACAGTGGCTAAGCCATTCCCAAAACACATATGAAAGGGGTGCAGGAAACCCACATGTTGGCTGCATATGAATATATTCTATATTGCCATACGTATTGGGAACACCCCTCCAAATCATTGGATTCAGGTGTTCTAGTCACCTCCATGGCCACAGGTGTATAAATTTAAGCACCTAGGCATGCAGACTGCTTCTACAAACATTTGTGAAAGAATGGGTAACTCTCAGGAGCCCAGTGAATTCAAGCATGGTACCATTATAGGTTGCCACCCGTGCAATAAGTCCATCCGTGAAATTTCCTTGCTACTAAATATTCCACAGACAACTGTTAGTGGTATTATAACAAAGTGGAAGCAACTGGGAACAAAAGCAATTCAGCCATGAAGTTGTAGGCCACGTAAAATAACAGAGCGGAGTCATCGCATGCTGAAGTGCACAGTGCGCAGAAGTCGCCAGCTGTCTGCAGAGTCAATAGCTAAAGACCTCCAAACTTTGTGTGGCCTTCAGATTAGCCCAACAGTGCATAGAGAGCTTCATGGTATGGGTTTCCATGGCCAAGCAGCTTTATTCACCCTTACATCTCCAAGTGCAATGCAAAGCCTCGGATGCAGTGTTGTAAAGCATGGCGCCACTGACTCTGGAGCAGTGGAGACGTGTTCTCTGAAGTGATGAATCAAGCTTCTCTGTCTGGTAATCTAATTGGTGTGTCTGGGTTTTGCAGTTGCCAGGAGAACGGTACTTGCATGACTGCATTGTGCCAAGTTTAAAGTTTGGTGGAGGGGGTATTATGGTGTAAGATTGTTTTTCAGGGGTTAGACTTGACCCCTTAGTTCCAGGGAACTCTTTGTGGGAACAGTTTGGGGATGGCCCCTTCCTGCTCCAACATGACTGCGCACCAGTGCACAAAACAAGGGACATAAAGACATGGATGAGTGAGTTTGGTGTGGAGGAACTTGACTGGCCTGCACAGAGTCCTGACCTCAACCTGATAGAACACCTTTGGGATGAATTAGAGCAGAGACTGCAAGCCAGGCCTTCTCATCTGACATCAGTGCCTGACCTCACAAATGCGCTTCTGGAAGAATGGTCAAACATTCCCATAGACACACTCCTAAACCTTGTGGACAGCCTTCCCAGAAGAGTTGAAGCTGTTATAGCTGCAAAGGTTGGGCCAACTCAGTATTGAACCATATGGACTAAGACTGGGATGCCATTAAAGTTCATGTGCGTGTAAAGGCAGGCATCCTGATACTTTTGGCAATATAGTGTATTAAGCATTCATCTGCAATATTTCATATCTAGCTAAGAAAGAAAAAAAATAATGTAATTTATTTATTTTAGTCCATTATGAAAAAAATATATATATAAAGCGAATATGTATTCGCTTTAATAGTGAATATTCTTTGCAAATGTTTCCTGCAAGGGTGACCGTTATGAAGTAGACTTATGGTAGACTGTATAGGCTGAAGTGTGGGGTGACCAAATTTCAGGTGCCATCAGATAGCCCACTGGTTTATTATCTTCGTATTCTTTATCTTATAAGATTTCTCTGTCACATGTCTAGTACCTATAACCTTGCAACGGTAGGAAAAAAATGTTCATTAAATGTGAAGGGTAGGTTATAGTTAATAAGAAGAGTGCATTTACAAAGATGGTAATGGCATAAGGGCAATACAGGTACTGTATGTATGGGATTCAAATCCAGTTTTGCTCTATATTGTGTTCTCTTTATTCATAGAAACACATTTTACATATATTGACCCTAATATACTTTAAAGGATAACTCCACTCTCGTGAAAAAAATATAGTGAATATAAAAAATATAGTATATACAAGTGTATGTAATGCATTGTTTTTAAAAATTACCTTTCCTTTTCATTCTGCAACCATTGTAATTTTCAGTAAAATGCAATGTAATGTGGCAACTTGGAGGCGTTCTCTACACTGTTGGTGTACAGAACCCCCCCCCCCCCGGCAAATGTAATTTTCTGTTTGCATGACTGGCTAACTGATTTCCCCAGACATCTGCACTAAGATACAAGACAGGTTTTAGGCATCATCTGCAAGTCTACTTTTGATGAGATACCCCCTAAGGGTTAACTACTTCTAAAGGGCTGCAGACACTGCAGCTTTCCTCATCAGAACATGAAGAGTGCACCACCTGACTATAACAAACCAGACCTAATTATGAAAGTTTGTCAAAATCCTTGCAATATACATTGATCACCCAAAGAGGGTTGTTTGTTTGTTTTTTTTAACAAAAGTGGAGTTACTCTTTAAGAAAGCACAGGACCCTCACTGGTTGTAATTAGGGCTCCTCAAACGAACCCCAGGAAAACACATTTTCTATTGCTGATTTGTATACGGTATTTTATTCATTTATTGTCTTCCAAGCCATAATGTATAAAAGATTTCTGTAAAAGAGATTTTATGCTTGCATGCCATGTAGATTTAAAGCATATTATAAAATCTAGAATTAAAGCATATACGGTATATATGTAACAAAACATACAGAAAATAGCATAACCAGATGTATTATTGTGAAATGTCCATACTGTGCAAATTTATTTCTAATGTTTGCTCTATATATATATATATATATATATATATATATATATATGTATTTGCGATTGTTATTAAGAATCCTTAAGAGGAAGGAAGTTGTATTTATGGGCGTTTTTTTTAAACCAGTAACTGAGTGTGTACCAACACTTAACCTCATTAAATGGTGCCGCAATTTAAGAGTAAGGTATTTTTTTTTTATGGCAACAGAAAAGTGAAGAATTAAACATGATAATAAAACCTTTGAACTCATATGGCATCAAAGTAAAAAGGACAAGTCTTAAAGACTCGAACCTGCCCAGCCATGTGAAATACACATTTGTTTTCTTTACAACAATGAACAGTCATTTAAATCTTTTAACTTAATATGTATAATTTCAAAGAAAATACCCACATGGACACAATTCACAGGAATCACTTTAGAAATCAACTGAAAATGTGTGGGTGGACTTACTAAGTTGTAATAATAGCGGAGCACTCAGATGTGCTTTTATTGTTTGGAAACAATGGAAAATAAAAAGTTCATTCACTCTTAACTTATAATCCTTTTTTTGTTTTTAGTAATCATGACACAAATTGTAAAACATCATTCAAAGGTAAAGGTGACTGCAGTAAAATTTTGGTAATGTATTATTATAGTTGCCTAAGGTGCTTTCACACTACTCCATAGCATAGCTGTATTTATCTATCATGTTGCCTTAGACATAAATGAAGACGCCCTTTAATACATGTTCAACCACTTGTGCTTTTTTGTTTTGGTTTTGTTTTTTTTTTTATGCATAGTAAAAACTATGGGTATAATCTGGTATTAGAAAAAAGCATGTTTTCTTCCTAATATGCATGACTTCCTATTTCATTAACCCATTCCCACTTGTGATCTGTATATTAAAATTCCATTACATGATTCCCAATGCTGAGGATACATTAATAGACATCAGACCCATGAGATCCAGCAGCCAACACCTTGCATGGAAGCTAGCTCTCTTTACTGGCTTTAGGTTACAGTGGGGTCCCTACTAATTAATGGGAACCAATCAGTGTGGTTCTCTATCATGTGATCGCTATCTCAGCTCTGACATAGTGATTGCAAGCAAGAGTAGGCTCCACCTATAAAAATGAATACCCTCAGGCTGCAGATGAGCACTGTCACCTTCAATGTTCATCTGCCATCTTTTTAATACTGCAACTGTCACAGACAGCTGCACTATTAACATAATAATAAATAAATTATTTTAAAAAAGTGAAAATGTCACAAAAAGGTTATACAGACCTACAAACAAGAAAAATGAGAGACTGTTTCAAACAACGTATTTCTTGAACTATGACTGTGTTGTGGCTCCTCCTAACATTCTATCTACTAACTTCCCACTTCAGGTTTAATACTGAATTTAGCATAAGGCAGGCCATACATCCATACATAATTCATTCATTTAACCAGGCTGTTGAATGGAAGAAAATGAATTGATCCCTTCATTTACATCGAGGTGGGTGGAGAAATCTCTTCCATGGATCTATTGCATTCTGTCAGTGGGGAAGCTTCCCTGCCATCAGGATGCACTCATCAGCATCACTGGCTATACACGGAGGCATTGACTGAGCAAAAACTTTCCAACAGGCTGGTTGTACAGAAGTGGATTGAGAGATCGACATTTGTACAACCAGCTTGCCCATAGATCGATTGAAATCCAGCCAGTCAATGCTGAATTAGCTGAATTTTGATCCATCTATGGCTGGCTTTGAACGATCTATGACCGGCTTAAAGTGTCACTAAAACCCACAACAGTAAAATCAATCTGTATATGCAGTATAGCATGCTTGTTATACTCACTATGGAACCTAAGAGGTTAATTCTCTGCATTGTGTAAAAAGGCTGTTTGATCCTTTATTCTCTGCCCCTCCTCTTGTTGAAATGACCACCTGATACAGACTGAACCCGTAGTCACATGCACATGCTCAGTTTGGTGTGTATTGCTAGAGAGTTTTTTTTTTCTTGGGAGGGTGTATGTGATTAGAACAGGGCCAATCAGCACTGTCCAGACAGAGGGTCAGAGGTTTCACATCCTCCTAGAGCAGAAAGAAAACTCCTCCTACAAGCTTTAACCAGTGCTCTGCTGAAGTCACAAGACTGCTCTAACTACTGATGAGAAAAGGTATTTAGCAGTTTATATTATTTACTAAAGTAATTGCATTTCCATGTTGTGTGTAATGTGGGAGACCAGATATAGTGAATGCGGGGTCCTGGGTTTAGTATCACTTTACGTGTCTAGAGCTGGGAGAAAAGAAATAAAAAAGTTATCAGAGTTTGTAAAACTTGAGGCTTGTTTCCGGGTGTAAGGTAGTTTACTGGAAACTTACATGGAGAAGTTAGTGCCTTGACCTGTACTTTGTGTTAGTCCTATAGACCACATGGTATTTCTAGCACATATGCAAATTAAATTGTGGACAACAGGTATCAGAGGTCACACTGATAAGAATTTTAAAAGCAGGTAAGTGCATGGGCAGCAGGAAGGCATTATGTAATGGTTTAGGATCAATTTAATTGTGTTTTTTTTTATTGAAAAGTTTAGAAAAAATATTTTCATTTATTTGTAGAACCTGTGCAATATTTAGTACCAGGTGCCCCAAAAAGATTCAGATTGCATAGAACATACTTTTTAGAGCTGATTCACACAATTGCAGTGTGGATTGAAGCTCAGGTTTCACAGGTAATTAATACAGTAGTTGTTCTCCGGTTCATGTCAGGTTTGCATCAGGTTCAGGGCAGGAATAGGTCAGGATTTTATCCTGTTCACACATATGCTGTTTAGAAACGGTTCCCATAGAAGTCATTAGCTGGTAATCCGCACCTGAACCTGAAGGCACTGCTCAGAAAAAATTACATGACTCTTTTTCAAACCGTACGGAATCTGCACTGAATCCGCACCGCCAGTGCACTGAACATATGTGAACAGGCACCATAGGAAGCAATGTTATTTCACATGTCATTCAGATTGGATGCGGTTCAGACCACATCCAAGCCACATATATGTGAACCGGTACTTAATAAGAAAGCCCAGCACTGATTGCTTGTTGATAGCATCTGTGAAACTAACAAAAACAGGAGAGAGGGAAGGTTATGTCATGCTGCAAAACATAACCACCTTGAAGCTTTCTGTTTATTGCAGCCTTGATCCAGCGACTGTACAACAGCTGAGTACACACAGTGGAAATGAGCTGTTCAGGAAAACAACACATTTATAAAGCTATATATCTAATCACAGATGATATACCTTTTAAAAGCTAGAATTAAAGAGGTTCTAAAATCTAAGGATAAGATCATGTTTTAAAAAAAATAATAAATGCCCATTTTTAGCAGGTAAAAAAATGTGCATTTACTATTTATTTTTTTTCATCCTGGAAAGCAAAACACCAGAGATCAGCAGATCGCTGGTGCCATGCAGGACTCCTGCAAACTGTCAGTGTATCTGATACATTCTGACAGGAAGACTCAATTAACTACCACGGCACTCAACAGCATCATGGTAGTTCATTGAGAAATACAAGCTAACAGCCGCAAAGACTGTTGGGACTTGTAGTTCATTAATTCACAGAACTCTGTGAATGAATGACTTGACCGTGTGAGTGGAGTCTCGCACTGTGCGCTGTTTTCAGAAACTCACAGCTATTACGGGGAATGGCTTCCTGTACTGCTGTCACATGGAGGAGGGAATAGGGCAGTGGCTGCAGT